CAATACAGAAAGAATCTGTAGTTTTAAAAATTTTCAACCAGCCAAGAATATTAAACAAATCCCTGATGAACAAATAAAGCACAATAAATTAGATGAAGAACTTTAGTCCTGTAATAAAATAGCACAGAAAAACGCAGAAAACGATTTGTTGATATTAGTTGGCCCAAAGACTTGTTGATGGCCTATTACCTAAAAGCCCAGTTCCCCACTATATTTGCCTTAGCCCTCTCTATTCCTCTCTCCTACCCGATGGTACTCAATCCCTTCCCATTCTTCATGTTCTGATGGCCGACGCTTGGAGTCCCATCTCCCATCCCTGTAGGATGGCTCCTACCATTCGAAACTCTAGCCTCTCTCCTATGTCTGCTGCCCCCTTCTCTATATAAGTCAAGGGTTGGTAGTAGCTCGAGGAGAGAAGGAAGAAGAGATAGTGATGAGAAATTGAGCTTTGAGCTCCTCTACTGTGTGCGATCCTCTCCTCTCTTCTATGAGCTTTGTTCTCCTGTGAGCTCTGTGCTCTCACCCCTTTGTGCGATCCCTTTTCTCTTTGTGAGTGATTTAAGCCGAAGATCAGTGGGCTCCCATTTGTGTTCTTGGTGGTGCATTGTGAGAGAAGAACATGAACTAATTGAGCAGGCTTCTGAGCCAAACATCGACGATGATCCATAACAGTGGTATCAGAGCCACGTTGAGTCGTTGCCGCTGGATCACCGCCCGACCGTCGAAATCAGATTGCTGCTGGACCACGGTCGGACTGCCGAGCAAGTGGGTAAGGTCGAAACCCTCTCCTAGGGTTTCGCTCAAGTATATCGACGAAAAACCCAACTTTTATCAAAAAAAAATTTCTTTCCCGAAATCTGATTTCGCTCAAGTCAAATATTCTGATTTCGCTTAAGAAATTTTTTTCTTTTTTCCTGTCTATATATGCAAATCTGTATTCGTTTACTTGTTGGTTTTTTATTTCCGTTGCGATTAAGTGCTGAAATTAAAATTTGCTTGTGCTCGTGCGAAAGAACAGAGGGTCTGAACCCGAGCTTTGTGCTCATCGTTATTCTCTTTTTTTGTGCTAGTTGCTTTGCAAATTTGAAAAAAAAAATCAGCTACATTTGTATTTTATTTTCTTTCTTGAAAAATTGTGTGTTTATTCTGTGGGAAAAAATGTCTGCTACTAATCAATATGGTATGGTTCAATATGGTATGACTACATTCAACGGAAAATCTGATTTTAGCATTTGGAAACAAAAAATAAAATGCATTTTAATTCAACAGAAGTCTTTTAGGGCTGTTGGTCAGACTTATTTGACTTCTGACACTGAAGAAAAAAAGGCTGAAATGAACGAAATGCTTGTTCCATAATTTATTTGAACTTATCTGATTCTGTGTTAAGAAAAGTTAGAATTATGGAATCTGCTAAAACCCTTTAGGATAAACTTGAAAAACTCTATACTGAAACCTCTTTGCTTAGTAAAATGTTTTTGTTTGAAAAATTTTTCAAATTTAGATTGAATATGTCTAAGGATATTGTGGAGAACCTAGATGTTTTTACAAAACTTATTTCAGATATTAAGTTAACTGGTGATAAACATATAGACGACTATACTCCTATTGCCCTTCTAAATGCTATTCCTGACTCATATAGTGATGTAAAATCTGCTATTAAATATGGTAGAGATGAGGTTACTCTTGACATTGTGATAAATGGTCTTAAGCGTAAGGAATTAGATTTAAAACACTATGGGGGAAATAAAAATTCTGGTGAGGTTATGCATGTGAGGGGTAGGCCTCAGAATAGGTCTAATAACCAAAAGAATGCTAGTAATGGGGAATCAAGTAGAAAAAAATTTGAAAATGGAAGGGGTAGATCTAAGTCTAGGTTTAAAGTTAAAAAATGCTATAACTGTCATGAAACTAGTCACTTTATTAGAGATTGTCCTAAGCCTAAGAAAAATCAGCAAAATGATCATGCTAATATGGCTGTCTGTGAGGGAAAAATGGGTGAAATTTCCATGATTAATAATCTGTGTGATTATGCATATTTGAACTTTGTGTTATCTGATCCTTTGTGTAAATCAGATTGGCTGGTAGAATCTGGTTGTACTTTTCATATGACTCCTTTTAAAAACTTATTTTCAAACTACAAGAAAATAGAGAATGGCTTTGTGTCAATGGCAAATAAAAAGAAATGCAATGTTTTAGGAATTGGTGATGTGAATTTTTTTTAACAAAGCCAGAGCTTAACTGTAATTTTCAACAATTACTGTAATTTTCAACAAAGATAGTGCTTGACTGCAGTGGAAAGAAAACACTGATAAATGTTTTAGGAACTGTATGCCTTAGGTTTTCTTCTGGTTCTGTGTTTACTTTGAAGGATGTTAGGCATGTTCCTGATTTACATTATAACTTGATTTCTTGTGCATCTCTAGAAAATGATGGTTTAGAGGGAAAATGGGGTAAAAGGGTTATGAAAATTCAGAAAGGGTCTCTTGTTATTTTTACTGTTGAAAAATAAAATAATTTATATGTTTGTCATGCTGAACCTGTGCTTGATTCTGTTAACTCTGTGATAGGTGATAAATCTTTTTTATGGCATAATAGATTAGGTCACATGAGTAATAAATGATTAAAAATTTTGCATAAAGGAGGTCATTTTGGCAGTGATAAAATATCCCCCATCCCCTTCTGTGAATCTTGTGTGCTAGGAAAACAACATAGGGTTAGTTTTCCTACTTCTTCCTTTCCTAATCAGTCTACGTGCACTAATGTACTTTAATATTTGCATGCTGATGTGTGGGGTCCCTCTAGTATGCCTACGCATGCAGGGAACCAATATTTTCTTTCCATAATTGATGATTATTCTAGGAAAGTTTGGATTTTACTCATGAAACAAAAATCTAAAGTTTTTGATAAATTTAAAAACTAGAAAATTATGATTGAAAACCAAACGGGAAAGAAAATTAAAACTCTTAGGACAAACAATGGTCTTGAGTTTTGTAACAAACAATTGAAAGATTTGTGTACTACTTGGGGTATTAAAAGGCAACAGAATGGGGTTGCTGAAAGAATGAATATAACTCTCTTAGAGAGGGTGAGGGTTATGTTGGCCACATCTGGGCTCTCCAAGAAGTTCTGCGGAGAAGCTGGTTGTACTGCGGCTTATTTGATTAATAGGTCTCCTTCTGTTCCCTTAGGAGGGAAATGCCCTGAATTTGTGTTCACGGGCAAACCTCTTGATTTAAATAATTTAGAATTTTCGAGTGTGCTGGCTATGTGCATCAAAAGATTGATAAGTTAGAACCTAGATCTAAGAAATATGTTTTCTTAGGATACCCTGAAGGGATAAAATGTTATAGGCTTTGGAATAAGAGTGAACCGGGGTTTAAGGTAGTGATAAGCAGAGATGTTGTTTTAAGAAAAATAAATTTTCTTGTTTACCTTTACATGTTCCTATTCCTGAAAATGATGCTCCAAATGAGGTAGAGCAAATGCCTATTATTAATCAACCCAAATCACCTCCTGAAGAAAAATTAAATGATATAATTATTGAAAATTAAGATGAGATTGTTCCTAATGAGGTGGAGCATGATATGCATGAAACAGATAACATGCATGATTTAAATGATTATCAACTCACTATGGATAGAAATAAAAGAACCATTAGGAAACCTGAAAGATATAGAGATTGCAATTTGATTGATTGTAATATGTCTGAGTTTGCCTTTAATGTATTTGAATCCATTGAGTGCAATGAACCTAAGACTTATAGAGAAGCATTAAGCTTAAAATATTCTGAAGAATGGATTAGTGCTATGAAGAGTGAGATGGAATCCCTATGAATTAACCAAACATGGAAACTTATTCCTAAACCTACTAGTTGTTCTGTAGTAGATTGTAAGTTGTTGTTTAAGGTGAAACAAGAATCTGAAAGTGTTAGGTTTAAGGCTAGGTTAGTAGCTAAGGGATTTACTCAAAAGGAGGAAATTGATTATGCTAAAATTTTTGCTCCTGTTATCAAATTCACTACTGTTAGAATTATGCTTGATTTAGTTGCTAATTTTAATTGGGAATTAAAACAAATGGATGTAACTACTTCTTTCTTGCATGGTGATCTTGATAAAAATATTTATATGTACCAACCTAAGGGCTTTGTGGACCCTAAATTACCTGATCATGTGTGTTTGTTAAAAAAAGCTTTGTATGGTTTAAAACAATCACCTATACAATGAATATTAGATTTGATAAATGCATGCAATCCTTAAAGTTTAAAAGGAGTTCTGCTGATCATTGCATGTATAAGAATATAGACTATGTGTTTGTTTTTCTTATAATTTATGTGAATGACATGTTTATTGTTAGTAATTGTTTGAAGTCTATTTAACATGTTCAAAAATGTATTTGTGAAAATTTTGACATGAAAGACTTAGGTGATGCTAAAAGAATCCTAGGCATGAATATTATTAGGGATAAAAACAAATCTACTCTACACTATAACACCTGAAATCTACCATAGCGGTCGAAAAACGCTATGGTATTATTTCATAGCGTTTTAATCAACGCTGTGTCAGAACCCGCTATCGTAGGTCTGTGGCTTTACATAGCGTTTTCCCAAACGCTATCAAAAAGTTTCCAACCATAGCATTTTTATGTAGCTATAAAAGAGTATTCAATAGCGTTTCTATATTGCTATGACAAATATCTTTCATAGCGGTTGAAAAACGCTATTAGTTAGTTTTCATTCATAGCATTTCAACATTGCTATTAACTTACATTTGATAGCGTTTGAGTTACTACAATGGCGTTTCAGTGAATGTTGTCTTTCTTCTTTTAATAGCATTTCAGTAATTGTTTTCACTTTTTATAGCATTTCAGTTGTGCCTATAAACCTTTGAGGTTGAACTAGAAATAACTTCCAATTGTGAGAACCATAAAAGCAAATATTTCATTTAAACGTTCAAACTGATACATAACCAAGTTGTAGCATACAAGAAGAGTCAATACAAATGTGCCAAAAAACAAATACTAGTCTTTGGATAATCCAACATGGAGTACAAGAAATTAACCATAGTACACAGAACAACAAAAACTAACTTCGTTGCATTACATATGACTTGGGAGGCTCATCATCTTCAGAAATTGAGTACTAGTACTGCTGCAAAAACAGAAATTAACAACACCAAAATTACAACTATAACAAACATGACAAAGTAAAAACACACGATTGCAAGATGTATAACTTACCAGCTTTTCAAAGCATAACAACTTTGTAACTGGTCCATCTTGGGGAGCTTCTTGACTGACTTGCGTAAGGCCTTCCATGGCATTCACATCCCTCGCATAATTCTCCACCTAGAAGAAGTAGGTACTCCAATTAAACTATCATTAATTAAGCTCTCATGAATTATGAAATTAAGTTCTACAAAGAATACCTTATCGGTTTATCGAGTGCCTGATGCAAATAAATGATTGATGCACATGTACCGAGAACAATATGAAGCAGAATTTTCATTAGATCTGCTATAACATAGTGAGCTAATTTCACCTTTCCGAACATCTCTTGTAGCTATGAAACCTAGGAGGAAGATATTTAATATGACAAGTGAAAAAAGAATAGCCATTATGATACTTGTGTATTGGTTCATGGATCATCTATTTGTTTCATTATCTTAAATTGTTAAGCATGCCATGGAGCAGACTGACTTGCTATCTTCATTTAAAGCCAGTGGTGTTAATTCTTAAACATTAAGCTATACCTATTTTCTCATTCATTAATATCAAATTCTATGTTAATGACTTTACTCTAATCAATTATTTAACTTTTTTATATCTGAAAGTTCACAAAAAAATTCTCCTGCCTTGCGAATCCCGTTCAAGGGTGTTGCTGGACAGGGTGTCGAAGAAGTCATCCTTCACATAGACAGGCTTCATAGAGGAAATAAAGAAACTGATGAGTATTTGAACAGTAGGAGAAACTGACATTCGTGTGTGCGCACACAGGAAACTATGGATATAAGGTGACAGTTTATTTGCTAAATGAGCAACAAAGATACAGATATACTGGTGAAATCTCACATCAGACTAGGTGAATCTCACTACAATGTTTTGCTAGTTCATTTTGCTAAACGAGGTGGTAAATTGTATCCAGTATATCATGTAGATATACATACAATATATAAAGGTAGTCTGCTACTTATAGTTGAGCTTTTTTGTATGTCTGTAAATGTGCACGCGTAATTGTATTTTGATATTCTGATAACCACGATCATCCTCTATGCCTCCTTCCCATCAAAATATAGGTTTGTCTATGAAGCACAAGTCCAAACGGGGTAGTAAAGGACCAACCTTCTAAAACCATTCAAATAAGTCTCACCAAAAGTTTGCATCAAGGTGTTCCCATACAGCATAGAAGAATTAACAGGTGCAAATACCTCCCTAAGCCTAATTCAACAAGGGATAAAAGGATAACCTCCACAATTGTCCAAAGACTAGAAAATAGTAATAAAGACCAATATGACAATGTTACAATATGGAGAACTACTTACCTTGATCTCATGTTTATCAGTTTCAGCATCTTCTTCCTCCAGATTATCATCAAATTCGTCGTCATTTTCACCTCCTTCACTGTCATGTGTCACGTATTTGCTTTTACCGAGATGGCCCCACACTTCATCCTTGTTGAATTTCTCATTCATTGCCATGAAGTCAAATTCTTCAGTAAATTTGGTTAGAGGACACGGATACTGCAAAATGTACAGAAATCAAAGACCCATTGCACACTTAATGGCTGCATAAAAGCAGAATTCAATTTCCTTCTGGTAACAATGAAGGGGTTTGTACTTGTGGATAATATGCGAATACATGAAAGATGAATCTCAGAATATTGGAAGTATTGATACATAACCATTCTGCATGTCTCATGTTAGTATATACTCTATAGATGATTTGCATCATAGCTGAAAGTGTTAATTACTAGGACGAGCAAAAGAAAAAGGATAAGAATGTATATAAGCAGGAAATATATGAAGGTTTTACCCAAACGTTGAACAGAATAGACAAAAGGATTTATCAGCCAAGTAATGTATTGATTTAGTGCTTTCCTTCAGCTATGAAAAATACATGCAAGTTTTTATCAACTTTTCCACATCTTGTCATGTGTCAGTTTTTATTTCTAAGATCGTATTACAGCAAAATAAGGTTAGGAGGACCATTACCCCATTTCCTCTTCCTTTTCCACGCCCCCTATTGAAGTGATGTATGTGCATGAGAGCTCCATTTGGCTGCAAATAACGGACAAACATCAAAACCATGAACATGCACAAAATTTTCGACCCACACCATTAACTTTGGAACAGACATATGTAGGATATAATCATGGAGTTAGAAATTCTCTAATAAAGCACCATAATGATCTAAGCCATTTCCTATCAAAATGGCACTCAATAAAGAGTGGTGTTTATCATATATTGTATAAAAATGTAAATTACTTGAAAATTTCAATAAAGATAACTTTGTTGAAGAATTTTTTTGTGAACTTTCAGATATAAAAAAGTTAAAGAATTGATTAGAGTAAAGTCATTAACATAGAATTTGATATTAATGAATGAGAAAATAGGTATAGCTTAATGTTTAAGAATTAACACCACTGACTTTAAATGAAGATAGCAAGTCAGTCTGCTCCATGGCATGCTTAACAATTTAAGATAATGAAACAAATAAATGATCCATGAACCAATATACAAGTATCATAATGGCTATTCTTTTTTCACTTGTCATATTAAATATCTTCCTCCTAGGTTTCATAGCTACAAGAGATGTTCGGAAAGGTGAAATTAGTTCACTATGTTATAGCAGATCTAATGAAAATTCTGCTTCATATTGATCAAGATAGCATGACTTAAGATATGGCACAACAAGGATGAATCTAAATCATGGCCTCCCTCATTGTTTTGTTACTCTAATATAGTAATATTTCCAAATTCCAGAAAATAACTTGTGTAAAAGGCTTTCTTGACCTTTCTATAAACCACTAAACTCGTATCTCATCATATCTACTTTAAAAATGAAATCTTCAGAAATTTGATGTTAAAAACTAAATTAGAAGAGAATGCTTATGGATTGTGAGAAAAATATAACTTGGACCTCGTTAATACTTGATCCAGATCAACTTGAATTTGATGAATAAAGTCATTCTTGGATCGTGGAATTCTTTGTTTAAGCAAGGCATAAACTCCCAAAAGGTTTAGCCTGAACTTGGATTTGAAGAACCATAAATTCCTCCATTAAAGCATGGAATCCAGAATGATTATCTTTGTAACAAAGTTTTGGAATTCATGCTTCCTCTCCCTAAAGTTTTTCTATTATGAAGGAAAGTCAACTAATGCAATCTGGAGTAGTAATTATTTAATATTAATAAATAGCAGTATTAACTCACATGCTTATTCTTCATGAGATGTTTCCTGCATTTAAAAAAAGATTGATAAGGAAGAAGACATCATTTCATAAATATGTGCATTTAAACTAGGACATGTTATAGCTCACTTTATAAACTGAAATGAAATATGTGATGTTAGTTGTATTTGTATAACCCAAAGTATTGACAATTTAAATTCATGCTAGGGGTCTTATTGTCTCTCCCTCTAATTTTGGGTCATCCTAATTTATCTATGCTTTTGATAAAATATTGTTAAAGCTATGAACCATTTCATTGGGCTCTTTGGCATAAATCAGAAAAGAACTATGGTTTCACAATGTAATTACAAACATCTTTTCATAAGATTTCATAACAAAATGAATTTACTTGCCTACACACGAGGGTTCTGGAAATCATCCATCGCAGATGCCAAAGCAGGTAGCACCGTTCTGGAAATCATCCATCGCAGATGCCAAAGCAGGTAGCACCCTCTGGTGGTACTGCACTTGCAAATCCGGACCCAAATCCGTAGAAAGCTGTCCAATGAGCAGGTAGCACCCTCTGGTGGTACTGCACTTGCAAATCCGGACCCAAATCCGTAGAAAGCTGTCCAATGACATTAATCGCTGCCCATCTCACTCTTGGATGTGGATCTTGAAATGAGTTCAAGACCATGTGCACCACTTGCTCCAAATTCTTAATCATGACCTACATAACAGACACAGCATAAACTATATACTATGTTTACAAAAAAGCACCAAGTTCTCAATCAATAATCAATTTAAACTCCCAGTTACCTTTGAACAACCTTCTGCAATCTGTGCAAGTGTAATCAAAGCAGCATGATGTTTCTGCCACTCGGAAGCTGCAATATAAGCCGGCAGTAACTCCGATGCAACTGAGATTCTATCCAAACACTCATGTCTGACACTGTAATTGCTCGTCTCCTCTGCATCCTCATCCTCTGCCTCTGCAGAATGCCACGCTGGCTCATCCTCAATATCTAGCAGCATTTTCATCAGCATTTTCAAAGGGAAAGACACATCAAAACAGATAAGGAACAGCTTGAATCCAAACAACTCAACCAAAACCCTAACTTTATCGTCAGCAAACAACCCTATATTGCCAAAACCACGAGATCCAATCGAATTTCAACGGAAAAGATCGCAATCTGAAAGGAATCACTCACTATAGCGTATCGGACGGCCCAATGATCGTGACGCTCCACTCGAAGATATTGGTATCGTCGACCAAGCCAGCCGAGAATCCATCCACAGGGTTCTTGCTAAGATCTGCTCCAAAAAAAACCCAAGAAAACTCAGAAAATTTTGAAAAAAATCAAGAAAACTGTAAAGATCGGGACATCGGATCGGGGAACTTCGGGGTGGCGAGGCTGATGAGGAACAAGGAGACAAATGAGCTCGTCGCCATGAAGTACATCGAGCTCCTCTCGATGTACTTCCCATCGGGTCGATCTCGGATAGAGAGATCTGAGAGGAGAGATAGACGAGAGAGGGAGAGTGGGGCGTCTGAGGGAGCAGATTAAGGGTAGCGGAATTTTTTGGGGTTAGGGTTTTTTTTTCTCGGGGCGGGACCAATGAAATTGGGGGGAGGGAGGAGACGAATGAAGCCTGTTTTAATTTTCAGTCTCGCGCTTAAGTTTTCAAGCCGTTGGAACAAAAAAATTGCCTACTATTATTCATGGCGTTTAAAAATTTCCAAACGCTATCAAAAAATAAGGCATATACGATCTATAGCACTTACAATATAAACGCTATCATTCAACGCTATAAAAAAAACAGTTTTGTTGTAGTGCTAGTTTTAAACCAAAGTTCATATGTTAAAAATTTTTTGAGTAAATTCTCTCTGTCTGATGCCAAATCTGTGAATGTGCCTCTTGCTTCCGACTTCGTGTTAAGTAAGGAATAGTCCCCCAAGACTAAAACTGAAATAAATGATATGAAGAAGGTGCCATATTCGAATGCTATAGGATCGGTCATGTATCTCATGGTTAGTACTAGGCCTGACATTGCATATGCGGTTAGTTGCTTGAATAGATACATGTCAAACCCTGGTATGTCTCATTGGAATGCCTTGAAGTGGCTTTTAAGATATTTGAAATCCTCTGTGGATGTAGGATTAACCTTCTCTAAGTGTTCTGAAGGTGTCAAACTAGTTGGCTATGTAGATTCCAATTATGCAAATGATAGAAATAATAGAAAATCTACTACTTCCTATATGTTTACTTTGTGTGGCTCTTGCATAAGTTGGAAATCTCAACTACAATCCATTGTTGTTTTATCTACTACTGAATCTGAGTATGTTGCTACCACTGAGGCTTTTAAAGAAACTATTTGGCTTAGGGGCCTTATATCTGAAATTGGTTTTCTTGATAAAAATGTGGTTGTATTTTCTGATAGTCAATCTGCTATTCAACTTTGCAAAAATCCTATTTTTCATGATAGAACTAAACATATTGATGTTAGATTTCATTACATTCGGGATATAGTTGAAAAGCGTATTGTCAAGTTAGAGAAAATTCCCTCAGAATTTAATCCTGCTGACATGGGTACTAAGTGTTTGCTTGCTGAAAAATTTATCTCGTGTCAAAGAATCTTGAATTTTGATTTTGGGTAATTTTCCTTTGCTTTGTGTGTTGCCTTTGTGGCCTATTAACTTGTTTTGTGCTTATTAGTAGCTTTGTGATTTTTCCTTTGAACTCGATGACCGTTTGGTAGAGTTCGGTCCTTTGTAGACTTGATATGCTTGGTTATCTTACACCGATCTTTGTGATCTGAGTTTACTTTGTGTATTCTCTCTCATTGCTTGTATCTTCTTTGTGATCATACAGGTAATGGTTTGGCGATGATGAGTCCTGCAGTTCCGTGTTTTTCTCTGTGCACTACTTTGGGCCAAAGGTGGAGATTGTTGATATTAGTTGGCCCAAAGGCCTGTTGATGGCCTGTTACCTAAAAGCCCAATTCCCCACTACATTTGCCCTAGCCCCCTATATTCCCCTCTCCTACCCGATGGTACTCAATCTCTTCCCATTCTTCGTGTTCAAATGGCTACCGCTTAGAGTCCCATCTCCCTTCCCTGTAGGACGGCTCCTACCATTCGAAACCCTAGCCTCTCTCCCGTGTCGGCTACCCCCTTCTCTATATAAGTCAAGGGTTGGTAGTAGCTCGAGGAGAGAAGGAAGTGTTAGATCTAAAATTTGAGATCTAAATCATAAAGTCATGATTAATTCAAAGAGATTAACAAGAATCAAAAAGTACGGAAGCATATACCTAAATCCATTGAGTAAAACCTGATTAGGGTTTTGATGATCTTCTAATCTTAGGGTTTCTCCCTTATGGATCTCTTTAGATGGGGATAAGAGAATGAGAGTGGCTAACCCTAGATTAGGGACCATAACCCCACCCCTCAATAAATCACAATTACAACCTGGTATCTGCACATATAACCCCATAATTTATTTAAATACCCATTAACCTAAATTAATTGATCATTTTAGTGGGTTATCCTGAAGGATAGCAATACACATAGATTAATCATATGTGCCCACAAATAGATTTAATTAGATTTAAATCTAACAATCTCCCACTTGGGCACCATATGACTCCTTAAAGTGTGTATAACCTTATGAGCTCAAAATTGCTATCACTGTAAAGGTATTTCCGAACAATCTTGTCCATTGACTATACCAATATAGGATTAAAGCGACCTTCGTCACATTTATCATGACTCTACCCATCAATGGTCATATATACCAATACAATCAAACGACATAGCTCAATCATGGATGTGCAGCATAAAAATTACATACAATGTGATTAGTACATGTCTATTTTTAACTGGTCCTACTTTAGTGAGGTCAAAACCAAACATAATGTAACAGAGTGTCTTAATTGAATACTTTATTCTGATCAGACAATACAACCAAACACAAAGCACCAAAAATTACAAACTCCCACTAAATCATAATATCCTCTAATATCACCACACCCATATGAGTGGTGTGCTCATGAAAGACCTTGAGTGGCAATCCCTTAGTAAGATGATCTGCTATCATGGAGTTTGTCCCAATGTGCTCTATGGATATCTGTCCACTCTGTACCCTTTCTTTCACAACCAGAAACTTAATATCAATATGTTTTGACTTAATTGAGCTCATGTTGTTATTGGAATATATTACTGCAGATTTATTATCACAATATAACCTTAGTGGTCTTTTCACATTTTCTAAAATGCGCAATCTAGTGATAAA